CAGTCATGGGGCTACACTTCTTCCACCTCAAGGATGAGTGAAGGACTCAAATTGGCCAACCAGAGTCCACCTTGAGAATGATTTGGACACTGGAGGATCGAGGGCCCTGTTCACCAGATCACCACCTGTGAACATTATATGGGACAGAAGAGTCTGAGGGCCTTGCTTCCATCAAATGTGGAGCGAAATCAGCAGAGAAGAAAGCATGGCTGAGACAGTGAGCGAATGCTGTCATCTCTCCAAACAATGAATGCAGCCACCGCCCAAAGCCAATGTGCTCTTACACTTTCAGGTCATGTTACTCCCCACCCCCAGTAAGCTGCCCCACCTCCTTTCATCCTTTGCTGAAGGTGGTTTCAGTTGCACTTCTGTTATTTGCATTCTGTTACCATACGAGCTGGTAAAGTCTCATGGGACTGGCTGATAACTGATTTGGAACCCACAGGGTCATCTTCTTAAACGCTCCTGATACTTTTATGAAATGTCCAAGAAATGAGTTAATACAAAACTGGTAAAAGCTGAATATGACAACAAAATGATACATGTTATCCTGAAAATTAACATAACATTTGAACTAGAACTGGCCTTGTGGAAGGATGTACAACTGTTCAAAAGTGTGGTTTACCTTTATTTAAAAGGGGGCACATATAGCCAAGAATCTGATCCTCAACTGAGAATCACAATTTTGCTGTGGTAAAAGCCATTCTTTGTTCTTTACCTACCCAACTTCTCTTTCAATACATTGTTTTCTTCCCGCTACTCCACTCGAATTTGGTAGGAATTAGCTAACCAAGGCCCTGTCCCTCCAAAGTGGACCCTATTACATATCAACCTGTACCAGCTGGATTGTAAGTTGAGGAAAAAAAAGACCCACTCCTTCTGACAGTTATTTTCTGTAGTCTTCAATGAGTGGAGTAGATCAGATAGGATATGACATAAAGAGCTGCATCAGTTCAGAGGTTTGGCCTGAGACCAGCCAGTGAAAGGAATCTGTGGACCTGAAACAACAGCAAGAATCAGAATTTTGCCTGAGGGGAGAATTTAGGAGGCAAGCATTTGCTTTGGGGGGTTTCTGTCCCCCAGATTTACTCTTGTTTTATTCCATCCAGTACCTTCAGTGGTCCATTTCTGAGTCTTTCAAGATTTTTCTTATGTTTTGTATACTATGGCAGGCACTAGTGATGCAGACCCATCCTGCTCCATTCATTTACTGGTACTCACAGTGCCCACTTGAGATACTAATTCCTAACCTCACAAACTTCTCGAGCTTCAAAACTCATCTAAGAGTTTATAGTCTGCAACCACTATCCCAAATTCTCAATATAGGTAATGTTTCCTCTCCCAGCACCTCTGCACCCTGCGTTTAATCCTTCATACTACACTGTAACAACATGTACTTGTCTCCCTCTTTTCTTGAAGGCAGAGAATTTAACATTTCCTATGAATTCTCAGAATCTTGCACTGTACATACTAACTCAATAAATGCTTGTTGAGTGTACAAATGCAAACGCATGAATGCATGCATGAATGAATGAACATCTAGGTCCCTAGGGTTCTGAAGATTCTCACTCTAGCTGAGAAGGCAAATAGCTAATGGTTAATTAGAAATTAGTGTATAATAGAGATAAGATCCAAATGATGAGAGATCACAACATGAAAGATTAGTCATTTCTTTCATTATGTCTTTTTTTTCTTAATATCTGCTCTACTGTTTGTGTTCAGAGCAGTATTTAAACTCACTGTTGAATGATCTATAAATAAAACTGATATTTTCTGATGATATAATTACCGTACAAATCTATTAATGATGTAAAACAAATAAAAACAATAGATAAAGAAACTACTGTTGGCTGCCTATAGCAAATATTGTGAGAATATTCCGCCCCCAACTCCCACTGCCATGAAAATATATTGACAAGGATAATTTCCACACAGCCAAATCTTTGGGTTATTGCCACATTATTTTTAGTGACTAGGGGACAAGTGAGGTTATATGTTGTGAATGTGGGAATCCCAGAGACAGGTACGATCAGGAAACGTTACACACACTAAGTGAGAAAAGAGTTACAGGATTGCCCTGCTTTCCAGGATTTTATTAAACAAAATTTCCAGAGACTGTGTCTACAGGAGGAAATCCTTAACATGTTGTCTCTACCTTGTTTGGTTTGACATTTAGACAACTGAAGGCTTGGTTACTGAGACCTAAAGGCGGCACTAAAAAGAAAATAAAAGTCTTCTTTCTTATCCTCTTCTAATTACCAGTCTCAAGTTTTTTCTAGTCCCTCATCATTTCTGGCAAGAAAACACAGTTGCTTAAGTTTTCTATCCGCTTCCAGAATCTTTTTCCTATCATTGTATCTTTCAAAAGAAAAAAGAAAAAGTGATCCTTTTTCTCCTGCGTCATATTTCCCTGACTGGGGTATTGAGGAGAGGGGTGCTTGACAAATTAGGTGAAGTATGAGCAGTTCTAAGAAAACTACGGGTCCTTTTGGTGGGCCTCAGATTCCCCAAGCGGTGAGCAGTGAAAAATATTTTTTAAAATGTTGTAACAAATACCGTAAGATTATGGAGCTAAAAATAAAAATCACAGGGATTTTAAAGACGAAGTACGAAACCTTAAACAAATGCCAGACTTTTGATGGTAGCAGTTGCATTTTACTCCGATACCCAAGGCACTTAATATGAACCAAGTGGTGAAAAACCATCTGGAAACGTCCACCTATAACATGCCCTTGCCCCGTCTAGTCTCTGCCTGGCCCAGGAAACCACTTGTTCGCAGAAGACACATGGACTTCTGGGCCTCCACAAATTTGTTCTTGCTGTTTTCTCTACCCAGAATTCTCACCCTTCCCTTGTCCAACTGGCCAACTTCTCTTTTCCACTTCCTGTCCTCTCACCCTTTCTTTCTCCCTTCAGTAAACATTTCATGATCTCCACTCTGCCATGATCTTCTACTGGGCCCTGGCAACGTAGGAATGAAAGGATCCTGCAGAGATGGTGAGGAGGGCAGGGAGGCAGTCACACAAGAAGATTAATAAACAGAACAAAATGCTTGTTATGCACTCAGCGCTGATGAGCACTTACCACACATCATTCTATTTATTTCTTACATCAACGCTGAGAAATAATTTTTGTCATCCCTAAAACTTGCCTCAATGGCCCACAATAAATAGCACTTGTCTCCAAGGTAAAAATAATTGCAATTAACATTCAAGCTGTCATTACAATCAGCACACATAACGTGGGGGGCAGGGCACAGGGAAGGCAGCACAGCACAGAGAAGACACGTAGTGATTCTATAGCATCTTACTACACTGATAGACAGTGACTGTAATGGGGTATGTGGTGGGGACTTGATAATGGGGGGAATCTAGTAACCACAATGTTGCTCATGTGATTGTATATTAATGACACCAAAAAAAAAAAATTCAAGCTGTCAACACAGTGTCAATTCATGAATAACAGCAGACTATTCATTTACCACTATTAAGCCCAGTTTACTAAAAACAGGTTAAGAAAAGCAAAATGCCAAGGCTGGAAAACCTCATTACTACATAAATATCAAAATATATACTGGGGTGTGGCATATATGATTTCTCATTTCAAATAAATATAGACTGCTAGGTGTATTTACAGCTGACTCGTGGTATTTCCATAGTTATTTCAGCTCATGCATAAGAAGTTATTAATGGTACTATAGTGCTGTCGGTGGTGATTATAGTTACAGAAAAAAACTTTATTAATTCAAAGCCTCCAATGTTTAAGATAGAGATTGGGGCCAAGTTTACCTTTATAATTTTGACAGTTTATGAAAAGATTTGCTAAGCCAATATAGTAAGTAAATTGAAAAAGAACCATTTACTTGACACAAATTTTAGAGTCATGAATTCACAACACTATAAATTCATTGTAAGCCAAAAGTCCAGTATGGCTTAGGTTGGTATTTTGATAAAATAAGTACAAGTTATTGTTATTTATTCTTTAAAGCAGGACTCCTGCTATTACTTCTTCACTCTAGTTCAAATTGCAATAAAATATTGCAATAAATTACAAAACAATAAAATACTGTTCGTGTGAAATATATTATTTACTCTGATGTTTCTACGTCTCAGCTCTTTTCCCATGTCCACTTCCTTATATCTGACTCTACTTAGTAAAGTACAAAAAAAAGGAGGCCACATTTAAGAGTAAATTCCAATTAGTGTCCTAAAGCTCCAACAAACATTATATTAAGCTCCAATCCATTATATTAAGACATAAAGCTTTAATAATGCAAGAGTTGGCAGTTAAACAATAAACGTCCACTCATGATGAATAGCAGGTTAACCACCTCTGCAATGAAGGGAACAACACCAAATTAGCTGATTTTTGCTTAGTCTTGTACTCGATAAAATCACAGTCTACAGTTTTATTTATGTTACATTAGAGGGTCAACCAAGATCTCAAGATAAACTGGAGTGCAATAAATGGCTTACCTCTCTTGCTAGCCATTCAGAGGAAAAAGAATGTGTTTTATGGTGCAGAAAAGAACCTTGAAAACAGTTGAAATTGACAGTAAAACTGTGTCCTACCTGTGTAACTTTCTCTGTCACATTGTGTGTTCGGTCTTTAACCTTGGGTGCAATAATGGTTTTGTCTGAAGAAGGAGGGGATGTGTTCTTTTTTTCAGTTTTGACATCTGAAAAATTCAGAGTGAGCTGTGGAATCTTGTTAATGGTGCTGTACTTGTTGAGGTTTGAATCCGATGTGGATCCCAGGAGGCTTGACTTGATATGATTAAAAGGCCCTAAAAAAATTGGAAAGCATTGTGAAAGCAGAGCAGAAGAAACAGGAGAGAGAGACGGTCCTGAATGACCTGCTGGTAATCCGTGACTGATCTGACTCTGATTCAAGTGACTGAATGCAACCAGCTGATACCTGACATTGGGTATCAATGAGTTAGGGTCACCATCTGCCACGTGGGAGCAGTGTACGCATATCCGTGGATAAGATGGGTCCTCGGCGTGCAGTCAGAGGGCAGATGGAGTCTTTAGCCCTTACTTCGCATCATTCATTAATGGCTGGAATAAAAGGAAAACCTCCACTCCCTACTGCTGGCCACATTCTACCTTCAAAGTTTCTCAAGAATTTCTTTTTATAATCCCAGGGTTATTCAAGGAAGGACTTGCCTATGGTTAAAATTATGTTGGCATGAAACTTCCAGACAGGCTGTCTACTCTGCTCCAATTTGTATCATCGCCCTCTCTGTGCCATACCAACTGACAAACCAGCTGGGTTCTTCATCTGTTTCTGTTACCTGCATGGGACAGTCCACAGAGTTTCTAGGAGACTTAAACCCAGACAGAAGCATTTCAGGTAAGCCTGAGAAGGCAAATGTCATTTCTTTTTTGGTGAACACTGTGGAAGATTCTAGGCTCCTGTGCGGGATAGTAACGCCTTTACTATCTCTTTTAATTTCTTTTATCCTTTACTTTCTTCTTTTTCCTTAAATTTAGGTTGAAGACTGACTACTTTTTCAGAAGAAGAAGAAAAGAAGAGCTTCTACAAAAACCACCCCAGAAGAATGCTTTGGCAAATACAACTTACAATTGAAGTGACCATAGCTGGCTAATAGGACATGCCTAGACACGGTAGGACCTGGTTACTTTCTTTTTTTATTTTTTAGAAATCATATTGTACATTAGCTCCTTAGAATGTCTGCATCATAGAGCTGGAAGTTAGTTCCCTCTGACCAGTGACCAGCCCTAGTCACTTCTCACATTGCTTTCCTGACCGAACTTGGCAGAGTGCCAGGACTTCTAGGCCTACTACTGAGGATGAGCTCAGCCTTTGAGATGAACTGATAGTCAGTTGCTTATGGAGTCAGGAAATGCCCCAGTTTCTTGAACAAGTGATGTTACTTTAACCAATATGTTGCATCAGGAAGAATTTTATAAATATCCTCAGCCCACAAGTGTTGTAGACATGTTATCTTTCTGCCTCAGAGAGTGTTTAAAACATGCAAACCACAAGAATGAACTTGGTGAGCACATTTTGCCTTTTGTTATTTTTTTCCCTGTTCAGAATGAAGCTATAGTATTTACTGATCAAAATGTACTTTATGCTCCAAGTGGGGTATAAACCCTTGGAAATGAGATCAGTCAGTTCAGGTCAAATATAATGCTGAGAAAATAATTATCCATCACTTAGTTCATAGTTACCTTGGAGAAAAATCACACTATTTTTATTTATAAAAGTTTATGTTTGGGTATTATAAAAGTTTAAAGTGATTTTAAGAGAATTTTTATCTATGTAGCAAATACCATGTGTTTCCTTAGGTGTATTTTTGTTCTTTCCGTGGGTTTTATCCATGACGCAAACAGAGTCCATGTAAGTGAAAAATATCGTTGAGCTCTCTGGGCATTTAATGCCCAGTATATTCTCATTTGCATATAGATTCTCACTCTTTTCTATTTATATGACAAGGAGAGAAATAAAAGCCAAAGTGGTACAAAATTCACCCATCCTTCAGCTAAATCTCTGACAGAAGCTCCGTTCTCCAGGTCATTGTACAAGTCTCTACCTCACGCTATTAATTTGCTGTTGTAACATACTGGAGAGTGTTTCCTTTTCGGTGTCATTTATGGATACATTCCAGGTCTATATCTTAATATTTAAAATTTATAAAACATTTCAGGACTTCAGCTTTCTTAGATAGGAACTCTAATGTCGTATTTTCACTCCTTAGATAATTTTACTGCACATGGGGATCCTTACAAGAGATTACAGGAGATGGAGCCCACATATATAGTTAAATTGTGTTTAAAACACTAAAGCTTTTTTTCAATTTTCATTCTCTATCATCTTTATGTTGGACTTCTATAGCAGACTGCAGAGTTGTTTTAAAAATTGGGTAAAAGCATGGATCTCTATAATGTCATGGTAGTAAGGTGCTGTTCAATATACTTCGCTTGTCATTATGACCATTTCCAATAATCTCCACTGAATTGGCTGCACTGATAAGCAAATAGTCTCAGAGAGTACATCTCCATAGTGGTATTAGTGGGGGCATTTTTGTTTGTCACAATGATGGGAGGTGGCTATTCCCTCACCTTGAAAAGTTCCCCTTATATCCCAGTGAGCACTCATGTAGGTGAAAAGCCAGTTCATAATAATCTCAGTCCTCAACCTAACCATTTCAAAGAGTACAATGTGCTTTTAACATGATTTTAATATGCATTGAACTTTCCACAGCTACAGCTACCAATGTAAAGATTTTTACATTGTTTTGTTCAGAACATAACCAAAAGCTGTTCATTTTGGAAAATAACATCACTCGGAGCTCCACTACTTGTGACTGTTGGGTTGCAATGAGAAATTGCAGACATCACGTTATAGACTGTGATGGTACCTGCCATGTGAAAATATGCAAGTGAAGAGATTTGGGTCTTTTTTCTAACAGTGTTGGAACCAAATGTTATTAAATTTGTAGAGAAATTACAGGAAACACATTAAAAACTATTAATAAAATCTCTTTAAAAAATGTCTCATATTGTTCTCCTGCACTTGTAAAGGGATATGAAATAATTCCATGGGGTAAAAGCTAAATACTTGAAATGATTTTTTCTAGGATTGCCTGTTGGTTTCAAATCTCATTCTAATGACCCCCTAGACATCTGCCACCCCTTCTCCACAATGGCTTGATTGCCATTTGTACTTGCAGGGCGTCGTCTAATTCTCATTGCTTATGACGGATTATGGTTTGCAAGGTCTTTTTGAAGTGTGAAGGGTGAATATATGCCCTGACATCTAGTGGGATTTCTTTCTTCTGTACAGCTCATTACTATTGCCTGTTACCACAAAAAGAATCGTTTTGGCATTACACTTAAAAGCAAGGGCCAGCTCATTCGTGAGAATGTCATACTTCCTCATCTGCTCCCCAGTTTATCTTGGCATAGTATTTATAATTCAACTATGGTTATTTCCTACTTTAAAAATTCATGTGTAAACAAGTATTATCTATTATTATTTATTCCAATAATGGTTTTTGTTATTATCCACCCATACTCAGGTAGGACCTGGTTACTTTCTTTTTTTATTTTTTAGAAATCATATTGTACATTAGCTCCTTAGAATGTCTGCATCATAGAGCTGGAAGTTAGTTCCCTCTGACCAGTGACCAGCCCTAGTCACTTCTCACATTGCTTTCCTGACTGAACTTGGCAGAGTGCCAGGACTTCTAGGCCTACTACTGAGGATGAGCTCAGCCTTTGAGATGAACTGATAGTCAGTTGCTTATGGAGTCAGGAAATGCCCCAGTTTCTTGAACAAGTGATGTTACTTTAACCAATATGTTGCATCAGGAAGAATTTTATAAATATCCTCAGCCCACAAGTGTTGTAGACATGTTATCTTTCTGCCTCAGAGAGTGTTTAAAACATGCAAACCACAAGAATGAACTTGGTGAGCACATTTTGCCTTTTGTTATTTTTTTCCCTGTTCAGAATGAAGCTATAGTATTTACTGATCAAAATGTACTTTATGCTCCAAGTGGGGTATAAACCCTTGGAAATGAGATCAGTCAGTTCAGGTCAAATATAATGCTGAGAAAATAATTATCCATCACTTAGTTCATAGTTACCTTGGAGAAAAATCACACTATTTTTATTTATAAAAGTTTATGTTTGGGTATTATAAAAGTTTAAAGTGATTTTAAGAGAATTTTTATCTATGTAGCAAATACCATGTGTTTCCTTAGGTGTATTTTTGTTCTTTCCGTGGGTTTTATCCATGACGCAAACAGAGTCCATGTAAGTGAAAAATATCGTTGAGCTCTCTGGGCATTTAATGCCCAGTATATTCTCATTTGCATATAGATTCTCACTCTTTTCTATTTATATGACAAGGAGAGAAATAAAAGCCAAAGTGGTACAAAATTCACCCATCCTTCAGCTAAATCTCTGACAGAAGCTCCGTTCTCCAGGTCATTGTACAAGTCTCTACCTCACGCTATTAATTTGCTGTTGTAACATACTGGAGAGTGTTTCCTTTTCGGTGTCATTTATGGATACATTCCAGGTCTATATCTTAATATTTAAAATTTATAAAACATTTCAGGACTTCAGCTTTCTTAGATAGGAACTCTAATGTCGTATTTTCACTCCTTAGATAATTTTACTGCACATGGGGATCCTTACAAGAGATTACAGGAGATGGAGCCCACATATATAGTTAAATTGTGTTTAAAACACTAAAGCTTTTTTTCAATTTTCATTCTCTATCATCTTTATGTTGGACTTCTATAGCAGACTGCAGAGTTGTTTTAAAAATTGGGTAAAAGCATGGATCTCTATAATGTCATGGTAGTAAGGTGCTGTTCAATATACTTCGCTTGTCATTATGACCATTTCCAATAATCTCCACTGAATTGGCTGCACTGATAAGCAAATAGTCTCAGAGAGTACATCTCCATAGTGGTATTAGTGGGGGCATTTTTGTTTGTCACAATGATGGGAGGTGGCTATTCCCTCACCTTGAAAAGTTCCCCTTATATCCCAGTGAGCACTCATGTAGGTGAAAAGCCAGTTCATAATAATCTCAGTCCTCAACCTAACCATTTCAAAGAGTACAATGTGCTTTTAACATGATTTTAATATGCATTGAACTTTCCACAGCTACAGCTACCAATGTAAAGATTTTTACATTGTTTTGTTCAGAACATAACCAAAAGCTGTTCATTTTGGAAAATAACATCACTCGGAGCTCCACTACTTGTGACTGTTGGGTTGCAATGAGAAATTGCAGACA